GCTTGGCTTGTGCACGTCTAGCGTTCACAGTATCTCTAGAAACATAAAATTTTTGGCAAATTTGAGCTCTCAAAATTGGTATGGGGAGGAGACACTCGTGTAAGTTTTGATTGCTTAGCTAAGTAGCAAAGATGCTTCAACATGCAAACGGTGGCTGTTGCTGATGGTTTAATGCGGCCTTATTTGTCAGGTAGAGAATACGCTTTTCTGTCGACATAAACTGAAGTTTCTGACATAGGCATTTCGCTTTGCGTTGGAGTATTTATTCCCAAACCTTAAACTTTCGGTTTGAATAGATAGATTTTACTTCAACCATTTCGCCAGTTGAGATTTTCTTCGGCTAACTTTTGCAATGGGTTTCTTAAAACCTCGTTTCCACAAAAGCTAAACTGTTTAATCACCAAATACGAATGCCTATTGACAGCCTCTTATAGATTGGTTTTTACTTTTGGTGCAGTTATTGGCACAGTCGTTTCCCTAGTCTTGAAGAGTTAGACTGCTCTAGACTAGGTAGTTCTTTGTTCAATCCACTGCTTATGTTTGTTGAGTTTGTATAAGCGTGTTGATTTGTGAGTTTTAGCTCTTACCACCTCACAGAAATTAAATCTGTTAATAATTATTCGATTTCATAATTAACGTTGGAACAGCTTGAGGCGTTCTGCTGAAACGAATTGCCGTAGAAAAGTTAGATGGCACTTCAATTGAACCTAACTTTTCTTCATGGCGATTCCGAGCCGTAGTCTCAATGTCCATTACTTCCTTTTAAATGTAACTCTAATTGTTCACCCACTGCATGTACGCACGCATTTTACACCAAAAAAAAACAATTCTAGCGTCCTGAACTCTGGATCTTTGCGCACGGAAGGAGATGTAATCGTGAATTTTTTGTACCTGTCTCGTTATGATTTATTCAAACTGAAATGCCCTTTGACCATACATTGTGAGCTCGTATGTTTAGCCTTTTTTACGTTAGTAGGCTCACTTTAACTTTCCTCCATCATCCCTATGCAGAACTCCCTTCAACCCGGGGAACCGCGTAACAGTATGGAAGGACGAGTTTTACTGTGTGTGCTGTTCTCAGTCTCTGAGCGGAAGACAGGCCGCGGTCACTATGTCAGGAGGCAAGGGTCCAATTTCTCCCCTCTCCCTGAAGCAGGATCACGACGACAATCAGCAGACAAAATCACAGCAGCAAACTCGCCTCTCTTTCGCGGACTATCCTTCGCCCGTCTCCTTTGCAGAGGACAGTACGGAGAGTAGGGTGACACCTCCGGTACAAAAGACCAGCGGCAGTATCCTAAAATCCTCCCTTCGCCAATCCCGCACCATGCAGCCTGTTAGCGCAGCGCCCAACAGTAAGACCACCTTCACCTTGCATTTCCACTCGATTCTGGCAGACTGCAGCTAAAGCCATATAGATTCTGGTGACTATATTTTTTCCATGGTTTTGAAGGCTTCTACCTTCCTCTAAAGTGGGGGGAGAGGAGTAATTTTCTATACACCTCTACGTTGCAAAATTGCGTGTAAGTGTCTTCTGTAGAATCAATTTGCGTTGGTACAATCAAAATGCACCGATACTTTTTATGAAAAGTTAAAAAACAGCCCCTCTCGGCATCGTTTTTGAGGTAAGTTCTGCCGATATTCCGCATTCAATTTACCGGTCCAGTGTCATGGTTTCTGCTTTTCAGGCAGAATGATGGATTAGCAAGGGATATCCGTGAGTTACTGATGTTTTGCCATGTCAGAGGCAAATAAAATGGCTTTATTCAATCAGTGCTGATTTATTTTCTCTTGTAGGTTTATTTTCTCAGCCAATTGTTGCACCTTAAATGTTGTTAGAAGAGGATTTGTGTAGCTTCTTAAATGACACCCTTTCTTTCGTTTCATAAGTGTGCTTTTGTTGATCAAGCTTATCCCAGTAATTGTCACTACGATGGAGTCTTGCTATAACAAGTCCTTATTGGTAGCGCTACCAATGACGAAGACTACCTGTCAGTGACACCGTCAAGCGATATGAATGGAATTCATTCGGATCATAAAGTAGTGGTGCTTTCGGTTTAAGTCACTAACTGAGGGCGGTATGTATACTGTTTGAGGAGCGTTTTGTGTCTATTGGGTAATGTTTTTTTCTGAGAGCATCCCATTCAATTGTGTGATTCACCTGTAACTGTCCAATAAAGGCAACTTCCATTCTTTTATCGGCTTATGTTTTTTCTTTAGCGGATCACACGCCTTTAGTTTTCAACCCTAC